ACCAATTTAATACTGTGTTCAACATTGATTACGAGAATGTAACATTTGCTTGTTGATGACTTATGCATTTTGTATTGAACCCTTTGTTTGACTTTTCCCACACAGCCTGTACTGACTCCAGGAAATGAAATCTTATTCTATTCTATTCTATTCTATTCTATTCTATTCTATTCTATTCTATTCTATTCTATTCTATTCTATTCTATTCTATTCTATTCCATTCAATTCTATTCCATTCAATTCAATTCCATTCCGTTCCGTTCCGTTCCGTTCCGTTCCGTTCCGTTCCGTTCCGTTCCGTTCCGTTCCGTTCCGTTCCGTTCCGTTCCATTCCATTCCATTCTATTCTATTCTATTCAATCCTATTCAATCCTATTCTATGTCCTGTCCTGTCCTGTCCTGTCCTGTCCTGTCCTGTCCTGTCCTGTCCTGTCCTGTCCTGTCCTGTCCTGTCCTGTCCTGTCCTGTCCTGTCCTGTCCTGTCCTGTCCTGTCCTGTCCTGTCCTGTCCTGTCCTGTCCTGTCCTGTCCTGTCCTGTCCTGTCCTGTCCTGTCCTGTCCTGTCCTGTCCTGTCCTTTCCTGTCCTGTCCTGTCCTGTCCTGTCCTGTCCTGTCCTGTCCTGTCCTGTCCTGTCCTGTCCTGTCCTGTCCTGTCCTGTCCTGTACTGTCCGGTCCTGTTCTGTCCTGTCCTATCCTATCCTATCCTTTTCTATCCTATCTATTCTATTCCTAAATATCATTACTGTCACGCTATATCTGACAACATTGCACACGTTGCTGCTGGGTGGCACAAACTTGTTCCCACCACCAACTCCATCATCGCTCCCATTACCGGTTTCCCTCTTCACTTGTCCGAGGACGTAAATACCAGACTAGAACAGGTGGACCGACAGTCGACGCTTGTGAGTAGGTAGATCATGATCCAGGCGTCAGGTCAAATAATGATTCTAACGGAAGATGAAAAATTGCTAACAAAAAAAATATCTGTCCCATGTCGTCGTCTATTTTTATCACTAATCAATGTGTAATTCTGAGCTGTTTTCACTTACTGTCTCTATTCAACGCATCAGGTATCTAATTTATATATAAGAAAACTGTTGATTACCATCTGTATCTGTAAAGTAGGGAGGGTGAGTATAAGCCCACAGCACTTAGGTGACATGTGACCCATTGTACATCCTCCCGAGGAGTTGTCCTCCTAGGTCATCGTCCATCCTGTCTTTTCCAGGAAAGTGGACAGGTCACTGGGAGACATCTCCTTTATATCGGCAGGTGTAGGCCAAGACTCGCCGAACACACACTCTCTTATTGACGATAACTCCGGGCACTCGCATAGGACATGCCTGACAGTCTCACCTTCCTGTTCACACATCCTGCATAGAGGTATGTCCACTAGCCCCATATTATAGAGGTGTGTGTTTCTTCAGTTGACAGTGGCCAGACAGAAACAGTCAGAAACTGTTAGGCGTAGATTTTTTCTGGTCATTGCCAGATATTTCTTCGGCGCCAGCTTCCCAAGGTCGCCCAAGGTGGTCCTGACAAGATTGCATCCTTTGATTCCATCCCATCTCTCTGAGGATTGAGCATGGGTGTAACATTTGGCTAGTTCCGCAATTGTCGAAGCCATCAGGCCGTAGGTGCCACTGGGTCAGCAATGCGATTACCTTTACTCCTGGCGTGACCTTTAACTCACCTCAGGATAATGTTATTATCTACCGAGGCTTTGGCTAAATCTTGGTGACACTCTAGTACTAGCCCTGAGGTTATATGTTGTCTGTTCATGAATAATAGGGCTTGTCTGCTCTCAGTGCAGATTGTCATGTTTTCCAGAAATTCGTTTCCTGATTATTTCTTTTGTGGTGATTGAGATACAAGCCAATTATGTTTGGACCACGCTGGTATTTCTTCCCATTCCCTACTCAATCCTTAGGCTTAGTGATCTGGAGTACACTCCACATCCTGAGCCTTCTTTGGTTTTTGGTTACCATACAATGTAAGTTGTCTTGAGATAACGAAGAATTCATTATCATTGTATCAACTCTCAAACTTCAATTTCCTGTTTCAAATGATCTCCAAAACTAAAAATCAGACTCATACACCAGAATTCTTAGTTTAATCTAAGAAATCATATTGAACATTCAACATTTGTGAGACAATAAAGTCGAAATTATAAGCTCAACTCTGAAAGTTGAGATATTAGATTAAAGACATTCTTCAGAATATTCATAAAACTGGGAACATTCGATTTTGAATTCAGGAGTTAGTGCGCAATCGCGGTTGACAATGATATTCAAATTGATAAGAAACTTCGAAATTCTCCAGAGTTTCCAGACGTATGCATTGATCATCTTCTTCATTGAATTAGGACCAGATAACCCTTCGCCTGGATTATACAAGTACATACCTGAATCAATATAGCCTACTGAAACTTTGTTATTGATGTATACATGCGAATGAGAAATTACAGGTCATGACCTGAAATGAATCATAATTTTCATACAGATCTAGAGGAACACAACAGTCCATTATTACTTGAACAAATAATATTTATATTTGACATTATAATATTTTATTGAAGATATCCGAATTAGGAATTTCCAAGCACAAACCCCTTCAACAACATCTGAGTGACAGTACCCTTTTTGGAATTGATTGATAAAATACGGGTGAGTGTGGAAGAGATTTCAATTCTTCATCCATCAATGTAGGTTTTTTGAATTTCATATATTCCCATAAAAAATGAAATTTTGAAAATTTGTATCAGTATTTTATTTGAATTCGAGGCCGTCGTGATGTGGAATTTCTTCCCAAAGTTTTGCTTCCATCGATGCACAACGATTTGCCATTCTTAGACATGTTGGTAAAGAAGACTGACACTATGTGGAAAATATCTGTTTACCAAAAACCCACTTACACGTTTGTGAACCAAAAATCCAACTACCATAAATCGAGTAGAAAAGGAATCATCAAGACTCTCGAGGCCGTGCTCTTGGGCTCTGTTATACGAAGGAAGGTCTCGAGAAAGAACTAGGCATCATCAGAAATAATCTTCAACAGACGGTGGAACAGACTTTGGCTAAAAGACAGCAAGAGCTCCACAAGGAAAAGAAGTCGCAACAACCAGTACTTGCACTCCCCTACATCAGAGGAATGTCGAAAAGGATAAGAAGAATTGAGTCCAAGTACAACATCAGAACCTGCTTCAGACCCTGCGACTGCGGAAAATCCCATATCGGTGAAATGTAGAGGCCATTGAAAGTCTGCATTGCTGAGCACAAGAAACACACACAGCGAGGAGAAACCAGTGAATCGGAAATAGCAGAACATGTTTGAACTCATCAAAATAACATCGAGTGTATCCCAAACTAAAATCATCCACAAGGAGGAACACTGGTTCAGGAGGAAATTCAAAAAAGCTGTTATGTTGCCCTACAACGCATCCAGCCAAGCAAGCGTAGAAATACGCAACATATGAAAACCCATAATCAAGCGGAAAACGGCTAACCCACGCCAAACAGTCAGCTCCCGCAAAACCGGTGAAGCGGAGACAGGGAAGAGGAGATAGGTGAAAGCACTCGAATGACCTATAGTCATTTCTTGGAGGAATAAGTCCAGTCATCACCCGAATATACTGGGATAATTTCAATAGAAAAGAAGAGGCAATGAACAATAATGATATCTGACTACCTGTGCTCAGTTGTACATAAACAAGATCAGGTAATCCATTCAGGAGAAACGAAGCCATGCCCGTCAGAGACAATAAAAAACTGGAAACAAGTTCCAGCATTGTAGTTTCTGCCTTTGATAATATCTAACGCAGGAGATGATGAAACGTCAGGCAATAAATATTGCAAACCACGGTAAAAAACAACGGATAAAAACTTTGACACAGTAGCCTCCGGCAATGAAAGTGTACATTCTTTGAGCAATGCATATTGTTTCTGTAGGGTTTGTCTACTCGGGATCTGTTATAAATAATGACCGTGTTTAAGCCAGTTCATAGAGATTTTCAGTTGAGTTTTGGCCTTTTTTCTAATAAGTGAAACATTTCATTTTGAATGAATATAGAAGAGGTTTTACTGAAGTAATTTTTTTTCCAAATGCGAACTACGAGAAATTGGGCCTTTTTTTGTATTCATTTCTCAATTCTATATAAGTGATATTGTCGCAACTCAGTACTCGCTTCACTTATAAACGAGAGGATTTTATTCGCTGTTTCACCCATTCATCATTCATCCAAATAATGAAAGAACTCATTCAAAAATTCAATTGAAAATTTATTGTGACGAAAAGGGTAAAATACTTCAGAAATAAACTCACACTAAAATGGTAATCAAAAATACAATAAATCACCAAAAACTTACATTATCCTGTCACCCAGCAGGATCAAAGAAAAGGAGATGTGCTGGAACCTTTTCTGAAGATTAATAAATACTGAATGATTTTCACAATACTGTCTGTTTCTGATCTTGACCTCTCTCAATATTTATGAAGATTTATACGCTGATATTCCAACTTTGATCCGGTCACTGTACTGAGGTAAAATGCTCAGTTTGCAATTTGTGCAAAGTTTGCGTATTTGGAGATTGTTTTATATTTCTATATTCTGTGATCGTATCAATTTTGATGTCTATGAGCTTGGAATATTAAAAGAAGGAATTCTGAATACTGAGTGTTTTTGTTTCAGAATAGAAGTTGAGGTTGGAACATCTTTCAATTCATGTATCCGCTGAAATGAATTCGAATTATTTCATGACTATTTTCCATATTTGACAATATCAAGTTGTAGAATTTCGAATATATCATTCGTTTTTCCTGTAATCGAAGTCATTTCGCCAAACGCTATCCATCAATTCTGTAATACCTATTTTGACACGCCTGTCGGCATTACGTTCACATACAATTGGGTCTAGACAGCATCTGAGCAAACGAAAGAGAACTATGATAAATCACCAGCGGAATCAATCAACCGGAGAGACTTCATTTCTCAAATTACTTACCCCTAAATCGATGTAAATGATGTATATCGGGTACGGCAGAACTAGGCAACCCGACGTTAGCCACGTTCCGATTGTACAAACAAGAGCTGGTAATCGAGATGTATTCGGGTTTCTAATGAATCGGAATCTATCCCATGCTAACAGCAGGAATGTCAGCGTCGAGGTGTGCAGTGGAATGTCCTGTAAAAGAAAGTACTCCATTAGTTTGATAAGAAAAAATGAGAAACAAATATTAGAGAAATCAACTGATCACTTTCTTCATATAATGATATCTTTTTGGCAACACTGTTTTTGACAGATCACGCGTGAATCGTGTCTTGTGTCATTGTTGAACTTGTTCAGTTTGGTCTATAATTTAACCATGAATCGACTTACGAATGAATAACGCTTGCAAATCATTGAATTTTACTATCAAAATTCATGCTCGGTGAAGAAAGTGCACTTCTTTCAATTTATGGGCAGTTTTGTCGGCCTACTAAGGGAGTTATTCGGAAGCATGTGACTGAATTTCGAACCCAGTTCACATTACTGGACATTAAACCACCAACACGCATACGTAGAGTGAGGAACGAAGAAAATATTGCGGCTGTATCCACCAGTGTTCGTGATGATCGTGAAATGTCGATTCGCCGCCGTTCGCAGCAATTGGACCTCTGTTACTCCACTACATGGAAAATTTTGCGAAATGATTTGGGTATAAAACCTTATAAGATACAACTGATGTAAGAATTGAAGCCACACGACCTCCCACAATGTCTAACAATTGGTGAATGGGCAGTGGCAAAGTTGGAGGAAGATCCACAGTTCTATCGAAAAAGTCACTGTTTGGTGTGGATTATGGGTCGGGGGCATCATCGGGCCGTACTTCTTCAAAGACGACAATGGCCGGAACGTTACTGTGAATGGCGAGCGCTACCGTATGATCATTGACGACTTTTTGTTGCCCAAAATGGAAGAATTGGACATGCCCGACATGTGGTTTCAACAAGACGGTGACACATGCCACACGGCATGCGAAACAATGGCCCAATTAAGAACTGCCTTCGGTGAACAGTTTATCTCACGTTTTGGGCCCGTCAATTGGCCGCCTAGATCGTGTGATTTAACGCCTTTGGATTATTTCTTGTGGGGCAATGTCAAGGATCATGTCTACAGGGATAAACCTGCAACGACTGGCTCTGGAAGCCAATATTGAAGCATTTATACGTGAAATACCGGTCGATATGTTAGAGAGAGAGGGCCAAAGTTCGACCTTACGCATGGGCCATCTAAAGCGGAGCCGCTGACAACATTTGCGAGAAATCATCTTGAAACATTGAATTATATTGATCGTTCTATCGATTCCAATAGAGATTTCATCAATTTTTTGAAATTTTTTGTGTCGTTTCGAAAATCAAATCATGTACCTCTTAAAAAATCACTCTTTAGAATAAACATTTTTCAGAAGTGAAACATTTTCTTCCGATGAACTAGAGGACATGTTTGCCATTAACGACAGATTCATCTGTTTCTTCATCGAGTTAACCGTGCACCTATCAGTACCGATCTGCACCAATAATATTACTAATATTACCGATGGTATTATACATTCATATGATGAGAATGAAGTAACTCTTTTAGTTTCACTTGATTATAAGAAAGCATTTGATACTATGAACTATGCTATACTATGTGCAAAACTTTGTTATTACGGATTCGATGAGAAAAGTCAATCTTTTTTCAAATCTTTCCTTAGTAATAGAACACAGCGTGTGTGACCCTATCTTTCATGTAATACAAAATTTATAATAGATTTACTCGAAAGATAGGCACAATGCGTACGGCAGCTCTTCGTCGGTATGCACTATAGATTTCGTTCAAAGAAACTTTTCTGTATCCTGAAATTTCAAAAATTGAATATTTTGTTTTATAAAGATCTAAGTTGAGCGCCACACAGTCAATAAAATGAATGATACATGATTTGGTTGACTGTGAAACCGAATCTAATCAAATTTAGTTTTTTAAACCACGGCAATGAAATGAAACTATAAAAATAAGATATTCTGAAGGTACTTGACATTCACAAAATATTGGCTGGTGAATTGAATAAGGGTAGAAATCAAAATCTGAATGTGCTCCAAATTTGCCATTTAGTCATGTGTAAAACAAATCGTAATAATTGTAAGTAATATTTGCCTGTCAGTTTCTCGTCGAGCTGTAGCTGCAGTTTTCTTCGACCAGGAACGGGACAGACTTGGAGCACGTACTTTTCTAATTTTTAAAATGGACTTAGACTATCTTGTGGACGTAGACAATAAAATTTATCGAACTGGACAAATGAAAAACCCACCATTCGGTATATCAACTGAAAATCTATTCCGTAAGGCAATCAGAGATAGAAGTCCTTATTTTTCCCTCTTTAATGATTCCAAACAAGTTCTGTAGAAGCTCTTCAGCAGAAAAACTATTGTAAAAAGTCTCCAATACTAAAACCCTGAAAAAACAATTTCCATAATGAAAATTCATTCAAAAGTTCGATTCACTAAAAGGGTGAATTTCATATGCAATTGAAAGGTTCGAAATGAATTTTCATACCTTCTTAAACGAAGGGTTCCGTTAACCAAAAACATCACGAATAACGTCTTCAAGGAAATGGCGTCGCTCGTTCTGGAAAAGTGGTTGTGACCCAGTAGAATCCTCAAGAAGTGCAACCTTCTATGGAACTCTCAAAATCTATACATGAAACTATATCCGAAACGATATCGTTCATATTCTTGAAAATGGACCACACGGCTCACTACTAAACAAATCCCCTCTTGAGATTCTCGTTCATCACTCTCTTTTCCAAAAAATGGCACCACTGCTTGCCGTACTCATGATCAAGGATCATCTACAACACAAGTCTATTCTGAGGAATCCACCCAAATAATTTTGGCAACACCTCATTTCTGACTTTCGGTTTACCGGAAATCGAAAATCTACCTCGAAGGGATCCGAATGAATCGGTCCTATTGGAAATAAAATCTTATCAATCTGTACGAGAAACGAATTATCATATGTGTAATGAGAAGTGAAAATCTTAGCGAGGCAAAAGGTGTAAATTGGATTGCCTACTCCTCAGAAACTTTCTTTAAAATCAATTAGGATTACCTTCGGTGAAATAAAAATTAAATGAAAAGTTCAGTAGGTTTTTATAAACGCTACACGTGTTCTCATCAATAATAACTCATCATCAGATCTGAACGTAATACATGTGGCACCTCAGGGCTCTATACTTGCACCTCTCCTAGTTATCACTTACACTTCTGATTTTCCCCAAATACTGAAGAGTTTTCAAGTGCATACCTATGCTGGTGACACCAATCTGATTTTTTTCGCGAAAATTAATGAATTTTTATCTTTTGAACACTTTTCAATAATGATAAAGATGACCTATTGAAAATATCAAGAAATCACTGTGTGAACATCAACCCAAATAAATCATCAGCCATAATTTTTGGTAAAAAGAGGGATCGGAGTAGGGCCATAGATGATTCCTCAATTTTTATCAATAATCACAAAGTGGAATATAGCGATAAAATAAAATGCTTGGGGTTGACATTAGATTGCAATCTGAGATTCATTAGCCATATTCACTATTTGATTCCGAGAGCATATGGTTCACTAAAGCATCTATATCCACACAGACACTGCTTGACTAATAAACATCTGAAAATGCAACTATGTGATACACTTATTTTATCAATTTTCAACTACAGTGATACTGTTTATGGCCCGTGCCTTGATCAAGAAACTTCTTCCAGGATCCAAAAAGTTCAGAATGCTTGTGTTTGATTAATATTTTCGCTTAAACGAAGAGATCATGTAACAACATTTTTGAACAATCTTGGGTGGCTGAAAATGTTAAATAGAAGAAAATATCACCTTGTATGCTTCGTTCATAAGTTATTGAGAAACCAATGTCCAGATTACCTCTACTCCAAAATTACTTCACGTCACTAGTACCACTATAGAAACCTTCGTAACATCAATATGCTTACCCTTTCGCGTCACTCTCTATCTTGTTTTGAACGTTCTTTCTCTTATAGCGCTGTAACCAAGTACAACTCATATCCTGAAGAATTGAAATCACTATCTTTTTCTGTGTTTGAAAATAAAACGGAAGCCATCCTTTTCGGTAAATTGATTGAATCAAATCAAATTAAATTAAACCTAAATTAATTATCTAATGAATTTTACAATTTTTTTTTCAAATTAATTTACCTTTATATACTTTTGTTATATGATGTTTAAACTTAGATTAGGTCCTAGTTTTAAGTTATGATACTGTATCACTATTAATACACTCATGTATAAAAATATTATTGGTTGAGTGGTAGAAAAGCGTAAGGTAAACTCCGCCACGATGAAAATAAAGACCATTTATAATTATTATTACATAAATCGAGACCGAAAACATGCTGCTCAACGTAAGCACCCTGAGGCTCACTAGCAAAAGTATTTTCGTCGTTTTATTTGAAGATGTCCAAATCAGCACACCCGTTTAAGAGCACTTCCAAACGCATTCAAACTAATGTTCCGATTACCGTGCGATTTTTTGTTCTGTTTGTCGCTCCGCTTAATGTTTACGTCTGTACGAAGCTTTAAAAAGAGAATTGCAGCAGAATTCCTGTCAATTACAGGTGGACTTTCATTACCCATTCATTTCAATTCGAGCTGATATTAAAACCTGAATTCTACTTTCATTCGCTGTGAGTTTCAGAAGAGCTTTTGTAAGCTTGTCTCCCGAGGGGATATTTTATATGTCATATTTTTTTACAAAAAAGCAGATAGTGATCAACAATCAACACGTGCCTATCGTGGGAGTATAACGTTACTCAGAGAGATATTCATAAAACTGAGGGTGTCCCCAGACCGGACTTTAAATATTACTGTAGTCTCGCCGATTGAAATATTTTCGAACTAAAATGGAATAAGCTTGTTTTCTTGTTTAACGAGTTTTCCACGTTCTCTATTATGAGAATGAAGGATTCGATAATGGCGAGAATCTCATTATTTGATGTTATATAGAAAGGGCATGATTAAATGGGTTATAATAATGCAGAGACAAAGTATATTAATTATTTAATGGAAAAGTGCCATGATATTCATTAATTTATTCGTCTCAAACAACTGGTAGCCTCTTTTATATTATAAATCCC